TTATATTATATATTATAAAGAATTAATGTAATTTAAGAGATTAAATTGCTGGACTTATTTGTAGGAGTCCTAGTGTGACACTATGGGATAAAGCCCTGGACCATAAGGTCAGTTTGAACCACAAGGTTGGCAGTTTAAACTCACAGCAGCTACTCCTTGGAAACCCTACACAGGGTCATTATGAGTTAGAGCCAACTTGACTGCACTTAACAACAACGTATATAAAAGAAAGAGCCCTCGTTGTGCAGTGGTTAAGTCAGCAGTTTGAACCCATTAGATGCTTTGTGGTGAAAGATGAATCTGTCTGCTTCTGTGAAGATTTACAACATTGGAAATGCTATAGGAAATTCTATTCTGTCCTATAGGGTCATAATGTGGTGCTATGGGATAAAGTACTGGACTGAAAGGTAAGCTTGAAGCACAGTGTCGGTGGTTCAAACTTACCAACGACTCCTCAGAAACCCTATACAGGGTAGCTATGAGTCAGAACTGTCTTGATGACATTTAACAACAAAAAACTTATATATATATATTTAAAACTGACCTGTGTAGTTGAATTTGCTCAAATTTACTATCTCAAGTGCACCAATAAAAAACTAAATTCAGGAAAGTAACACAGCTGGTGAATAAAAGAGTTGAAATTCGAATCTAGGTTTTTCTGACTACAAAACCTCTATTATTTCTTTTTAGATGTGTTTTATTTTCTAAATCACAGTCCAGTAAATGTTTTCCTTTAAACTCTATGGAAGTTAGATTTGGCTATGTGGCTGGTATACTAAAACCAAGCCTATTGCCAACTCGTGGTGATGCCATGTGTTGCAGAATAGAACTGCTTCATAGAAGTTTCTTGACTGTAATCTTTATAAACAGATCTCCATGCCTTTCTTCTATGTTGGTGATGAGTGGAATCAAATAATCAACTTTTGGATATATGTTGTTGTTAAGTGCCTTCGAGTTGGTTCTGACCCATAGCGACCCTGTATACGGTTTCCAAGGAGCAGCTGGTGAGTTTGAACCACCAACCTTGTGTTCAAATTGACTTTGCAGACCAGCGTGTTAACTCACAGCTGTCAAGCATAAACCATTGCACTATGCTGTGCCCTTGACTAGTATACACATACCAGAAATTAATGCAACTAGAACGTATAAGAAGGCATAGCAATAATTTAATGAACCCGTACCAGTTGCTCTGTGGGAGAAAGATGAGGCTTTTTGCTCCTGTAAAGATTTTACAGCCTCGGAAACCCTGTACAGCATCGCTGTGAGTCGGAATCGACTCCACAGCATGTAACCACCACCACCACCACCACCATGCTAATGGACAGAATAAGAAATTCAAATGAACACTATCACACAGGGTCTCTCTTAGCATACATTGTGTTTATTTCTGTAACTTTACTCTTATCCTAATAGCTTTCATTTAACACATGGAAGATGGACTTGAAACACACAGAGAAGGCATTCATCCATATAAAGTACAAATTTGGCAGAGATTGGTAGTGAATGCCTAATATCTTAAACATCTTAGACATTAACATTGTTTATCCATTGATCCATCCATTCAATAGAAGATTTACCATGTGTCAACCACTATGGCCAGAATTAAACTATAAGAAATATTTTAGTAATTTGGGACTTGATGTTGTTTTTAAGTGCCATTAAGTTGTTCTGACTCATAGTGAGCTTGTATAGGGTTTCTGAGGAGCAGTTGGTGGGTTTGAACCACCAACCTTGCTATTAGCAGTCCAGGACTTATCTATAATGCCATACTAGGACTCCTAGTTTCAGATGTCAGAAATGATTCTTATTGAGTAAAAAACTTAGAAACATATATTAATTCACTGGACTTTTAAAATATGTTACTTTCCATTGTAGGTTACTTTTCATTGTGAGTTGTTATTTTTCATTAGTAAAATAATTTCGCTAAATTATTGGGACCCATTAACATCTTTGTTTTTAACTAGTACATTTCTTCAAATGACTACAATGACATTTCTTTTAAAATATGGATAACTCAGATTTTTCATTAATTGAGCAAAACTTTTACCCCTGTGCCAGTAACTAATGAAGTTTGTTTATATTTTATATATAACTAACAAAGTCCAAGACTTTGCTTATTCTAATGCATCTTCTTTTGATTACAAAGTACACTGACCAGGAATCAGAAATTCAAGGGCTAAACATCACTCACTGACACTCAGGTGTGCCGTGAATCTCATGGATGTTGGAAGTGGCACCATTATTGTTACCTGTGGTGTTGAGGCCAAAGAGGAGAGGGCAGGACACAGCAAAGGCCAGTACCCAGACAGCTGTGATCATAAAGGCCACACGCCGGCAGGAGCTCTGTCCTGTGCCCTGCTGGTAATGAACTGGCATGACCACAGCAGTATACCTGAAAGATAAAGAGAGACAGGACAGATGTAATGAAAAGGGACAAGGAATTGACCAAAAGACAAGTTGAAAGAAGCGGTTACTGGTGAACTAATCATAGAGTAAGAGAACAATAATTTAGCTGGGGAAAGAAAGAATAAAGAAAAGAGTGAAAGATGAGAAAAGGTAGATAAAGAACTTGTTGGGTAGTATGGGATACAGAGAAAGTAAAAACTTAATACAGCAACATTAGATTACTAGAGAAGTTTTTAGTCACACAGCTATGCAACCTTCTTTTCTCCCATAATCCCGGCGTTGTTGTTGTTGTTGTTAGAGGCCATCAAGTTGGTACCGACTCATAGCAACCCTATGCACAACAGAAAAAAACACTGCCTGGTCCTGGGCCAACCTCACAATTGTTGCCACGCTTGAGCCTATTGATGCTGCTGCTTTGCCAATACATCTCACTGAAGGTCTTCCTCTTTTTCTCTGACCCTCCACCTTACCAAACATGATATCCTTCTCCAGTGACTGGTCCCTCCTGACAATATGTCTGAAGTATGAAAGATGAAGTTTGGCCATCCTGTCCTCCAAGGAGCACTCTGGCTGCACTTTTTCCAATATGGATCTGTTGGTTCTTTTGGCAGCCCATGGCACTTTCAATATACTCCTTGAATGCCATAAATCAAATGCATCAATTCTATGATCTTCCTTATTCATTGTCCAGCTTTTGCATGCATACAAAGTTATTGAAAATACCATGGCTTGGGTCAGGCACATCTTATTCCTCAAACTGACATTTTTTTCTCTTCAACACTTTAAAAAGGTCTTGTGCAGCAGATTTGCCTAATGCAATACGTCCTTTGATTTCTTGACTGCTGCTTCCATGAGTATTGATAGTTGATCCAAGAAGAATGAAGTCCTTGATAAATTCAATCTTTTCTCTGTTGATAAGAATGTTATTTATTGGTCCAGTGGTGAGGATTTTTGTTTTCTTTACATTGAGGTGCAATACATACCAAAGGCTGTGCTCTTTGATCTTCATTAGTAAATATTTTAAGTCCTCTTCACTTTCATCAAGCAAGGTTTCATCATCTGCATATCACAGGTTGTTAATGAGTCTTCCTCCAATCCCAATGCCATGTTTTTCTTCCTATAAACCAGCTTCCTGGATTATTTGTTCAGCATACAGGTTGAATAAGTATGGTGAAAGAATACAACCCGTCACACACCTTTCTTAATTTTAAAACATTCAGTGTTCTCATATTCTGTTTGAACAACTCATGAGTACAATGAAGTGTTCTGTAGTACTCATACTTTGCAATGTTGTCCATAGCTTGTCTTGATCCACACAATTTAAGGCCTTTGCGTACTCAATACAACACAGGTAAACATCTTTCTTATATTCTCTACTTTCAGCCAAGATCCATCGGACATCAGCAATGATATCCCTTGTTCCATGTTCTCTTCTAAATCCGGCTTGAATCTCTGGAAGTTCTCTGTCAATGTGTGCTTGCAGCCATTTATGTATTACCTTTAATAAAACTTTACTTGCATGGGATATCAAAGATATTGCCAGGTATTTTCCGCATTCCATTGGGTCACCTCTCTTTGGTATGGGCACAAATATGGATCTCTTCCAATCAGTTGACTAGATAGTTGTCATCCAAATTTCTTGGCATAGTGAGTGAGTGCCTCCAGTGTGGCCTCACTTTCTTGAAAGATTTCAAATTTTTTTTTTTCTTAAATGTTTTATTGTGAATTATGTGATAGTTTACATGGGAGAACATTAGTTTTACATTCATTCTATCATATATCATCTCATTGCCATGGTTACAATCCCCTCCATGCAATCCTTCCCCCGTACCCCCCAG